ACTCACACAATCACCCAATCACTCACTCACCAACTCATCCACAAACTCAATCACACACTCGCCATCGCACTCACTTTCACACGGTCATCAACATGCACAGACACTGGTGCAAACACACACCTACAAATCGGCCGAAACACATGTGTGTCCACGCCCACATACACACTCACATTCACCACTGTCTCTCATCCATGTGCATGCATGCACGCGTGCAATTATACATGCACGCACGCAAGTAAGTATGCATGCAAGCAAATGCTAACCACTGCTTTCTGTCCTCTCTCCATCTCCCTCTATCTACAGGTCTGCAGTCATCACAGTCCACCATCACTCCGTCAGCCAGTGACACCAGTCAGCCCACTCCGTCTCACCAGCCCACATCCACGCCACTCCTCCTCCACACCACAATCACACCGACAACACCCGGACTATCCGAGTCGCCCACAACTCCAACCACAACACTCAACACCGACATCATCGGAACCAACACCACTGTCACCACCTTCACTGGTGAGTCAATCTCAGTTTCCTCTCATTCTCCACACACCCGTCTCCCCAGTGATCATCTTCCTCACACTCCTCGTAAGCCTCGCCTACTCACACTCTTGCGCACATTCAAGCTACTCCGTCCTCTCCTAAACCCCGTATGCTAATTCCAACACTGCGCCAATCCACATCACACCCTCCAGTCAACTCGGAATCTCACACACTCCTCCTGAACTCACAACACACAAACACACAGGAAACACTCACACTGCCACACAAACCACAACCAACACACTCTCACAAACGAAACCAACACACAGACACACACTCATGCACACGCATGCACACGCGGACTCATGCAGACACATCCAATCACACATCGACACTCCAACACTCACAATCTCTCTCCGACTCAGGCAAAAACACACCAACAACCACACGAACACGCCCACACATTCACTCTCTCACACACACGCACACACACAAACAAACAAACCCGATCCTACACATCGGATGATCACACACTCACACACGGAATACCTTAAACACGCAGATGCAACGACAACAATCACAATCTCCAAACACAAATCAACAACGTCAGAATGAGAACGACACTCGGCTCACGCATTCACGCTGCCACCCACTCACTCACACAATCACCCAATCACTCACTCACCAACTCATCCACAAACTCAATCACACACTCGCCATCGCACTCACTTTCACACGGTCATCAACATGCACAGACACTGGTGCAAACACACACCTACAAATCGGCCGAAACACATGTGTGTCCACGCCCACATACACACTCACATTCACCACTGTCTCTCATCCATGTGCATGCATGCACGCGTGCAATTATACATGCACGCACGCAAGTAAGTATGCATGCAAGCAAATGCTAACCACTGCTTTCTGTCCTCTCTCCATCTCCCTCTATCTACAGGTCTGCAGTCATCACAGTCCACCATCACTCCGTCAGCCAGTGACACCAGTCAGCCCACTCCGTCTCACCAGCCCACATCCACGCCACTCCTCCTCCACACCACAATCACACCGACAACACCCGGACTATCCGAGTCGCCCACAACTCCAACCACAACACTCAACACCGACATCATCGGAACCAACACCACTGTCACCACCTTCACTGGTGAGTCAATCTCAGTTTCCTCTCATTCTCCACACACCCGTCTCCCCAGTGATCATCTTCCTCACACTCCTCGTAAGCCTCGCCTACTCACACTCTTGCGCACATTCAAGCTACTCCGTCCTCTCCTAAACCCCGTATGCTAATTCCAACACTGCGCCAATCCACATCACACCCTCCAGTCAACTCGGAATCTCACACACTCCTCCTGAACTCACAACACACAAACACACAGGAAACACTCACACTGCCACACAAACCACAACCAACACACTCTCACAAACGAAACCAACACACAGACACACACTCATGCACACGCATGCACACGCGGACTCATGCAGACACATCCAATCACACATCGACACTCCAACACTCACAATCTCTCTCCGACTCAGGCAAAAACACACCAACAACCACACGAACACGCCCACACATTCACTCTCTCACACACACGCACACACACAAACAAACAAACCCGATCCTACACATCGGATGATCACACACTCACACACGGAATACCTTAAACACGCAGATGCAACGACAACAATCACAATCTCCAAACACAAATCAACAACGTCAGAATGAGAACGACACTCGGCTCACGCATTCACGCTGCCACCCACTCACTCACACAATCACCCAATCACTCACTCACCAACTCATCCACAAACTCAATCACACACTCGCCATCGCACTCACTTTCACACGGTCATCAACATGCACAGACACTGGTGCAAACACACACCTACAAATCGGCCGAAACACATGTGTGTCCACGCCCACATACACACTCACATTCACCACTGTCTCTCATCCATGTGCATGCATGCACGCGTGCAATTATACATGCACGCACGCAAGTAAGTATGCATGCAAGCAAATGCTAACCACTGCTTTCTGTCCTCTCTCCATCTCCCTCTATCTACAGGTCTGCAGTCATCACAGTCCACCATCACTCCGTCAGCCAGTGACACCAGTCAGCCCACTCCGTCTCACCAGCCCACATCCACGCCACTCCTCCTCCACACCACAATCACACCGACAACACCCGGACTATCCGAGTCGCCCACAACTCCAACCACAACACTCAACACCGACATCATCGGAACCAACACCACTGTCACCACCTTCACTGGTGAGTCAATCTCAGTTTCCTCTCATTCTCCACACACCCGTCTCCCCAGTGATCATCTTCCTCACACTCCTCGTAAGCCTCGCCTACTCACACTCTTGCGCACATTCAAGCTACTCCGTCCTCTCCTAAACCCCGTATGCTAATTCCAACACTGCGCCAATCCACATCACACCCTCCAGTCAACTCGGAATCTCACACACTCCTCCTGAACTCACAACACACAAACACACAGGAAACACTCACACTGCCACACAAACCACAACCAACACACTCTCACAAACGAAACCAACACACAGACACACACTCATGCACACGCATGCACACGCGGACTCATGCAGACACATCCAATCACACATCGGCACTCCAACACTCACAATCTCTCTCCGACTCAGGCAAAAACACACCAACAACCACACGAACACGCCCACACATTCACTCTCTCACACACACGCACACACACAAACAAACAAACCCGATCCTACACATCGGATGATCACACACTCACACACGGAATACCTTAAACACGCAGATGCAACGACAACAATCACAATCTCCAAACACAAATCAACAACGTCAGAATGAGAACGACGCTCGACACACGCATTCACGCTGCCACCCACTCACTCACACAATCACCCAATCACTCACTCACCAACTCATCCACAAACTCAATCACACACTCGCCATCGCACTCACTTTCACACGGTCATCAACATGCACAGACACTGGTGCAAACACACACCTACAAATCGGCCGAAACACATGTGTGTCCACGCCCACATACACACTCACATTCACCACTGTCTCTCATCCATGTGCATGCATGCACGCGTGCAATTATACATGCACGCACGCAAGTAAGTATGCATGCAAGCAAATGCTAACCACTGCTTTCTGTCCTCTCTCCATCTCCCTCTATCTACAGGTCTGCAGTCATCACAGTCCACCATCACTCCGTCAGCCAGTGACACCAGTCAGCCCACTCCGTCTCACCAGCCCACATCCACGCCACTCCTCCTCCACACCACAATCACACCGACAACACCCGGACTATCCGAGTCGCCCACAACTCCAACCACAACACTCAACACCGACATCATCGGAACCAACACCACTGTCACCACCTTCACTGGTGAGTCAATCTCAGTTTCCTCTCATTCTCCACACACCCGTCTCCCCAGTGATCATCTTCCTCACACTCCTCGTAAGCCTCGCCTACTCACACTCTTGCGCACATTCAAGCTACTCCGTCCTCTCCTAAACCCCGTATGCTAATTCCAACACTGCGCCAATCCACATCACACCCTCCAGTCAACTCGGAATCTCACACACTCCTCCTGAACTCACAACACACAAACACACAGGAAACACTCACACTGCCACACAAACCACAACCAACACACTCTCACAAACGAAACCAACACACAGACACACACTCATGCACACGCATGCACACGCGGACTCATGCAGACACATCCAATCACACATCGACACTCCAACACTCACAATCTCTCTCCGACTCAGGCAAAAACACACCAACAACCACACGAACACGCCCACACATTCACTCTCTCACACACTTACACAAAGATAAAAACTCGATCCTGTACATCGGATGATCACACACTCACACACGGAATACCTTAAACACGCAGATGCAACGACAACGATCACAATCTTCCAACACATATAAACAATTTCTGTATGATAACGAAACTGTTTTTCGACATTTTTCGATGTTTTTTTCCACTGAATTCCCTCATAATTTTTCTCTCATTTCGGCTCACGTCATTCAGATAAAATGAACCACAATGCAGTGCGTCGGTGGCACATTGGTGGGGATTATCGCCGATCTTGCACATTGTCCTCTGTTCGAGCCGTCGCCGGCGCACAACTGCTATCTATGGTCGGCATGAGAAGTTCGGGCTACCGATATCCATGCTGAAAATTCCATACTTGTACCAAAAATACAGTGTGGAATCAAGCTGTTAATCTAAAAATCTAAAAAAAATCTAAAACATAGTTCTAAAACAATGCAATCAACAAATTTAAAGGAATGACTCGTGATTGTCAATGATTTCGGTGTAGTAAAATAGCATCGATTGTCTGTGAACAGGCGTCTTTTCACACGAAACAATCAATTCACAAGGGATATCAGTAGTATATTGCTTTTCTTATTTTGGTTCCTGTGTCACAATCCTTTTGTTATCGTTTCTCGACTTTTAGAAATCGTGATCTTCCGACTTGCAACTGTATTATACACGGACAGCGAGAGAACACCGTATGTTTGGCAGCCTGATTTATCCAACACATCATCAAATGCATACATAAATCTAGCTCAAACATTTTGCAACAAGGTCAGTTAATCGTTTACAGTTTTATGCATTGAATGCAATTCACAATGATTCAGAACATGCATTTAGTGGATGACTTCGGTTTTGAGTCAGTTGAAAATTTAATAATACTCATAGATAATTTATTTTCTGCACGTTAAATGAAGTGCAACGGGTGCGATAAATCATAATAGTCATAGGAATAATCATATCCAGATTCTAACGAAGATTCGAATTTCTCATTAAACCTCTAGCCACCGACGAGTAGCTCTCAATGCAATATCATTCAGATAGTTCATGCGACAGGCTCTCTTCCTTGTATATCTGAATTATTCATGTTGAATACAGAGAACACCGAATGTGCTGTCAAAAGATCAGGCGAAGTAATACCTAATATGGGAATGTCTGCGATTACATTTAATCAGGGAATTCGTGATACAGATTGAGCTGATTGATGAAACATTCAAAGTTCAATATCCACTTGGTTAATGACTCCACTTGTCAGCCCACTACACTTCTTGGCTTTCTAGTCTTGCCCACTAATAAAGATGACTGTTCATATCCACATTTTAAGAGATAATCTTCGTTTGGTACTGCTGTTCTGTTTGACCTACTTCATTCAGTTGAGGATGCTTCATTGCCCTTGCAAACAACGTTTTCAGCGCCAACTTCAGAATTAGGTGAGATTGTATGATTTGCGAGAGATGAAGTCACTGATTTTCTGATTATTCTGACTTGAACCTTACGAGCAGCAGAATAAGGGCAGCATTGATGACAACTGATCCAAGTCAGGATCATCAGGAAATTGGTCACTTCATTCATGGCGAATTCGGAAATCTCATTTAATTTTGAATTTACGGCTGAATATGTCGTCCGAAAGGGGATGGTGGAAGCTCCGCGATTGAAACACCGGGCACATAGGATGCAGTAACACTGGATATGTCTACTTGATGTACACATTCTCTACATCAATCCAAGAACATACGCCCATTTTCTTTGATAACGAAAGAATTTCACAAGACGGTGAGTGGAGATATTGCATTACAGTCAACATTACGAGGCAACTACAATGCAAACCATTTGACTGAATTCATTCGAACTAGTCAGAAACCACCCCTTCTTGTCGTTCAAATGATGTGCGCCCACAAAATTCCACATCACTTTTCATGGCGTCCACAATAATTACCTTTGAAATAATGACCTCTGAATTCTGGATTCATTTCTTTAGATTTTGGCCATTTTCAATCTATGGAATCCAGTTGCTTCCAAAGGAGCCCGATGTTACAATGTTGTATTTATACCAGTTGATTTTGTTATTCTTGAGAAAAGACAGTTGAATGCAACTGGTACCGAGGGACAGAATGCGACTCAAGGTGTGCAGGGGAACGCAGATATCGATTTGATTTCAACGAATGAGACAAATTTGAATGAAACGCAGTTGGTTGAAATCATTTCCTCTGTCCAAAATCAGTCAAATGTAACTTCGGATACATATTTTTTCAATGTACAAGCAATTCGTAAGTCACAAATATTTCTGGTAGTAGATTAAATGCAATGAAGCAGGTCAGATTAGGCTCGTATACAACAATAGTAATAATAATAACTGCTTTGTTCTACAAAGTTCGTCGTCGCATAAGACAGAATTTGAAGCTTGTCCTATGCCATGGTACTTAACCCATGTGCAAGACCTTCAAGTAATATAAACGTGATAGATAATGCACCATTTGAAGCAATATTGTTCTATCCAGAGCAGGTTCCATTGCTCTTGCGTTTACTTCAAAACATTCATATCAGTAGGTTGAGACCATACAATTCATGAAGGCAGTTGGATGTCTAAAACATCATGAAGTGCAGTAAGTATGCTGCGATGTGATGGATAGGAAAATTTGGTAGCCTGGTGTTTTCAGCAGGCCACCGGAATGCGTATATATATACATGTATATATAAGTGTATGTCAGATCCCAAACTGCTGGGCTAAGTAGTCTTCTGACATATCAAAATCTGAACGTAGATAAAGTGAATGGCTTGCGTTATTTAATTATACCAATTTCGGGAATGCGTGTTGGTGAATGGCACGTGTCTAGTATATTCAACTTCGTGTTGGTTTTTCGCTGTATGACTTCTAGAAATCGGCCGTGATGGTTTCCCATGACAGTCTGGAAGTCATTTTCATGTCTGGCTTTATGAGAACAATTATCATCCTAACTGCGAATATTTAAAATAACGTGAATCAGCCTACTCGTGTTTGCCAGTGAACAGCACTTCACTGCATGGCCTTCTCCTATTTGTTTTACAAAGCATAGAAGCCCTGCTCTTCATCCAGATCACCGGAAATCATATCAAACCTATGATGATGCCTGAATGTAATTTCCACTAATGATCCTCAGCAACCATAAGGAATACAAGTACCTCTCTGACACCGAACTATACCCGCGAAACAATTCAAGCCATAATTTTGTTCTCAATAAAGTGGGCACGATTTTATCGGGCTGATTTAATGGATTGGTATGTCATGAAGTTTACTGATCCTGCAGTAGACTTACCTGGCTTGTGGAGTTTACTATCTTGAGTTTTGTATCAATTGCTATGACATGAGTGAATCAGTTTTCGATGAAATATGCATTCAGTTTTAGTGCGTACATCCGCTATAGTATAAGTGTTGAGCTCAGAGAATGTTTGAAAACTTTGCAGTTTACCAATTGTAGTCTTCTACTTAACAAATCTGCCCACTGAAAGCGAAATGTATTTCTGAAAGGGGAAATTCTGTCAAACACTGTCAACCTAGGCTGATATGCATTTCTGTGCAAGACAAATGACATAACTGTCAGGTCGAATAGGTGATTAACTCAAATTCTATTCAACAAGGTGTTATCAACGAAAAATGTCCACAGGATTTTGTACTAAACTACTCACACACGCGTCTCACTAGTTTTATGCGCCAGCCAATTATTCGATCAAAGAAAGTGTATACGTTCACAGAGAAGCGAAAGTACAGGAAAAGAAATTGGGATAGCTGTACTCTTTGTCATTTTTTTCCTGGGTTCGTCATCCAATACGCAATGTGGTGAAATCAGTAGATAATAAAGCCCAAAACACATTTTTCCTTACTACAACATGCCAATCCCAATTTTTTTCTTTCTTTTCTTCAAGGGACTTATGTCGCACCTACAGCGATGACGGTGTCATCAGCACCTTTGACACAGACGACAAGAGAATTGCAGGGAGCAACTGAAAGTTTTTTTAACTTCACATCAACAACCACGACTGATGGGCATTTTACTTCCCAAGTCTATACATCAGGTAAGTTTCTTTATTTGTGCTACTGTGCTCATTCAATCACTATATGTTTGAATGAAGTGTCAATAAAGTTGCAAGATATTTAGAATGAAGCGGTGTACTACTGATCTGACAGAAGTATCTAGTGATCACTGATCAAGTAGACACCACACAGTTCTCCGGATGGTATTCATCTCCACACAATTGTCAGCCTCGAGAAGAATACAATTTGCATGCTGGACAATATAATTTTCAATAAAGAAGGAGATCGATATAAACCAACAATTGGACTTCATCATATATTGATATCTTTTGTCATGGGATTCCAATCCTGCATTCAGTTTCTCTCCATCCAAGGAATTTTCACGTCTAGAAACCTGTTATCTCATCTACATGAGAGTGATTGCTTGTAAAACTGTTGTCCGCGATAAGTGGAAAGCTTTTCTAAAATGAATACACAATGTGGAAGATATAGACAATGCAAAACACATGTATTTACACCAAAATTAGAATAAGAGATCACGAGAAATCGAAGTGAGGCGGAAGTCAGACAACGGAAGCATAAAGCCACGCATAGGAAAAATTCCATAAAAGACTTGAAGCGAATAAGTGAAAAGCTCTGGAATGGGACTGTAGAAGTAAAAAGCTGGAGAGAAATAGAATGCGGATAGAAAATAGTCCTAAATAGTGGAAACCTCACACAACCAATGAAATAAGAACACTGATAAAAATCAAAAGAGAATCCAAAATAATCAAAGAAAAATCCCGCTTAAACAGAAGCGAAGAAGCCAGCGAGTCATAATAATAGTGATATTAATTATAATAAATGCTTTTGTCGAAAAAGTTCTTCTGGCACAAATGTGGAATTTTCAGCGTGTAATGCAATATCGAATCTAATTCCCTCACTAATTGAAATAGGGTATTTATACTAATATTGTTGTTCAATAAGAAGTGAATTTGAAATTAAATCAAGTGAAAATATTAGCAGTGAGGGACTTCCCATTGTGAAACGTGTACTGCTTGCTACCAGCAAGATAGGAATGCAATCACTTGATAATCCAGCACTTCGCGCGCAACGCAGCAGGCTTGTCTAACATAGAAGGCCTAGGTACAGAGTCGAAGGCAGATGTGCAATCTAGAAAGGCACACCGAAAACCTTTGGCACCTCTATCTACAATAGAGACAATGCTATGATATAAGACGACACTGGCATCTAATATACACCTATCATGTTCACAAGCAAATTTATTAGGATAAGTAAAAGCCTTCAATGAAGGTTCAAGATTAAGTAAAAGTAGTCTTCCACTGTTTTAAAAAGTGGTGAAGTAATGGTAATGGTAATAGTTTTGAAGTTAACAGTTCGCTCACTAGATGATTTAGGCACAGGAACAATGTTAATGTCCTTCCAAGAAGTAGGCACAGTGTTAATTGGAAATGAACCATTAAAAAGCAGTGAGAGGACAACACAAAACATCAGCACATTTATTGAGGATAATATCTAGTACACCATCTGCATCAAGGGACTGCATAAAATTCAGGGATATGAGACACTTGAAGATATCGTTTGAGTTAATATCGAAGAAGTGGTCATTGTTTGCATTTGTAGCGTTTGAGAGCGTAATATCAGCTGATGGGCATATACAGGACTAACTAAAAGTACCAGCACCAACTGCAGAAGAATCATTATTTATTTCCTTACCCTTGTTGATTTCCTTAACCAACCTCCACATATTTGATGAGTTTTCGCATGATAATAACTTTGGCTATAGATGAAATTGAATCTCTGTATTTATAGTTTAATTTAAATGTTCAGTTTTTAAACACCAGGATTGTCATTCATTTTGTGCAACTATTCTTTTTCTCAGCGAAGCTTTCTGAGCTGAGCAGAGGAAAAGTGGTCGAGTCTTGTGAAGAGTGTCTCTTTTGAACAACAAACATCAAGATGGACTTTGAAACAAGGAGTTACGTGAACTACTGTGTCATATAGAACTTGTTCAGTACACAAGTTCCAATTTGTATCATTTTTCATGTTTTCTGGATAACAAATACTGTCATGCGAGTAAAATCTATATTGTGTTTGCCTTCCAAGGCTCATGAAGGCCCTTTTTGCAGCTTTCCATATATTTTCGGCTATTTTTCTAGCTTCAGATAGGCCGAAGTCATTTGCAAACACTAGATCAAGGATATTTTTATTCGTGTTGGAATGTTGAAAATATCTTCATGACCGTAAGATGCAAGGAAAATGAAGTTACACCAACTGAAGTCGCCAGTAACTACTAACAAGGAGTGTCCAAGGGAGGTCCTTCAAATGTATATGTAGTTGTATTCGGGTGAGTGTTTCTGTTAACATTTAACGGTGAGGCAGACAATCTCGTCACTAGGGAGTCTACAAATACATTATTTGAAGTACACAATTGAGAATTAACGAAGTTTGGAACGCCACCATCACATTTCCTTGTGGAGCCACGTCGAATTTGTCTGGATAATTTGAAATCATTTAGACAAACAAATTATCATCATATTGGCCATGCAACCAGGTTTCTTGAAGAGTTATAACACCAGCATTGAGAAATACATTCGAGAACACGAGAGATTGCAGACAGTTATTTTTTCCTGGCAAAGAACGATAGCATGCGTCCATAATCTGCCACACAGTTGTTTCAGGAATTCGAATGTTTCGGAGGCACGTTGTCGTCAGCAATGATGAAGGTCAACAGATACCTAACAAATCACTCATCCGCAGGTTTACCCAACGTATAAGCTTCGACAATCAATAAAAAATACATGAAAAAATTCAGAAGAAAACAAGTCTAAACATAGGAGACAAGCAAAATAAGAGGAAAAAAGAAATAATCAAAAGAAACCAGGAAAATAGGGAGGCAGAGAAACAGAAAAAACAAGATTAAACAGCACAAAAAGGAGCCATAAAAATACACATATTCCCATACAACAACAAAACTAAACTAAAACAGACAAAGACAGAGACGCATGAACTGAGAGCAGCACGAATTCGCTCAAATACAGAAAAAAGAATATCTAAACAAAACAAAAACTCCACAAAAACCATCGAAAACTTGCGAAAACGCAAAGAACACAGGGGAATATACATCGAACATTTGCGATACACAGTTCACAAAATATTTCAATAATATATTCATCTCCCTCTATCTGCAGGTCTGCAGTCATCACCTCCCACCATCACCCCGTCGGCCAGTTACACCAGCCAGACAACTCCGTCTGGTCAGCCAACCTCTACGCCACACACTCTCAACACCACAATCACATCATCAACACACGGACTATCCGAGTCGCCGACAACTTCAACCACCTCCGGGACCACCGCCACCAACACTGGCACCACGTCCACAGGTGAGTCTGCCTGTCACTCACACACACACACACACTCACCAACTCACTCACTCACTCACTCACTCACTTCCTCCCTTAATACCTCAGTCAGTCTCACTTCCCCCTACTCCACATCATCGAACGCCCACCACTATCCACACAAATCTCGCTCTCGTGAATCGCCAAGCACACAGACACTCACACATAAACACAGACTCACACACTCACTCCCACTCGACGACTGTCTTCACAATGAGAGAAGCACATGTCCACAGCCACACGAACACGAACCTGCACAAGCACAAACACAAACACCCAAAAACATACACTCACAATCACTCACACACCCCACTAGACACACGAACTATTTACTGCCATATAACATGAGACACAAACTGTCAAAATCGCATGTACTCAATCACTCCCAAAATCACACACACACACCCACACACACTCACTCACTCACTCACTCACTAACTTACTATCAGTCAACCACGGACACAGTCGGGCCATTACATTCATCATTTAGCCAGGTGACACACAATCACACCTACACAATAACACGGATTATTCCTGCTCAAACTCACACCCTCCAATCCACCATCAAATCTAAACAAACACACACACACACACAAACACACGCAGACTAACAATTCAACGCTTCCAACCACTCTCCCACGAAGGCGCTCAAACACATACACACACGCACACACACAAAGCAACTCTCCTCACTCCAACCACTCCCTCAACATCATCGAATACACGCGAAACTGTCACTTCCCCTGTGCAATCATGCAAGTGTTGACCATTGCTTCCTGTCTTCTCTTCATCTCCCTCTATCTGCAGGTCTGCAGTCATCACCTCCCACCATCACCCCGTCGGCCAGTTACACCAGCCAGACAACTCCGTCTGGTCAGCCAACCTCTACGCCACACACTCTCAACACCACAATCACATCATCAACACACGGACTATCCGAGTCGCCGACAACTTCAACCACCTCCGGGACCACCGCCACCAACACTGGCACCACGTCCACAGGTGAGTCTGCCTGTCACTCACACACACACACACACTCACCAACTCACTCACTCACTCACTCACTTCCTCCCTTAATACCTCAGTCAGTCTCACTTCCCCCTACTCCACATCATCGAACGCCCACCACTATCCACACAAATCTCGCTCTCGTGAATCGCCAAGCACACAGACACTCACACATAAACACAGACTCACACACTCACTCCCACTCGACGACTGTCTTCACAATGAGAGAAGCACATGTCCACAGCCACACGAACACGAACCTGCACAAGCACAAACACAAACACCCAAAAACATACACTCACAATCACTCACACAACCCACTAGACACACGAACTATTTACTGCCATATAACATGAGACACAAACTGTCAAAATCGCATGTACTCAATCACTCCCAAAATCACACACACACACCCACACACACTCACTCACTCACTCACTCACTAACTTACTATCAGTCAACCACGGACACAGTCGGGCCATTACATTCATCATTTAGCCAGGTGACACACAATCACACCTACACAATAACACGGATTATTCCTGCTCAAACTCACACCCTCCAATCCACCATCAAATCTAAACAAACACACACACACACACAAACACACGCAGACTAACAATTCAACG